TTTTTTTTTTTTCTTCTTGCCTTCTGGAATAGGCGATTCGGCGAGCGATGATTTGTCATCACTGATGTGGTGATTTTCTGAGAATGATTCGCTCATCATTTTTTTTTTTCTCTGAAAGTATAGATATATATTTTGATCACTGGTTTTCTAGTCTCACGAAAGGTATATCAGCCTGAATTGGTACACATTTGTATGAAAGTCTAAGGTTGACTACCCTCCGCGAGGGGTATCCCTGCAGTAGCTGTTGCTCCCGCAAGGTTTAGATGGGTTCTGAGGGTGGGGGATCCTGGTACGTAGATATGGGTCAGTATTTGCAGTGAAGAGAATTTAGTTAGGGTGTAGTAACCTGTAATTTTAACAGTTACAATAACCTGTAATTTTAACAGTTACAATAAACTGTTAAAATTGCAATAAACTGTGCAATGGTGTACTATGGTGAGCTATGGTGTGCTATGGTGTGCTATGGTGTTCTATGGTGTGCAATGGTGTGCTATGGTGTGCTATGGTGTGCTATGGTGTGCTATGGTATGCAATGTTCACACTTCAATATACAGTAATAATTTTGGACATTACTTCAAACTTTGCAGTTACTGCTGGTGCTATTTAAAATTATCTGGCATTTATGTAGGCAATCCTTCTGATGCAGCAATACCTTGTTTATGTGACTCAGGATGATTTACAATATCTTAATATAATAAATATATTATTGTATATAATATATGCAGCATTTTATTAATTCAATCCTTCACATTTCTACATTGCCAAACAGGTTGGCACTGCATTCTTGAATGGTGCTCTCAACAGGGTGCAGATATTATTGCTCACAATGTTGGGTGTACCAGATTAAAGCAGGTATGCCCAGTGGCATTGTGTTGACAAACTTGAGCTTCCAGTGGTGATCCCCGTTTGACCTTGCCGCCAAAAAATAGGGCCTTTCATTCCCAGGCACCATTAAGAGGGCTGCAGATTTTTTCTCGTCTCAACCCGGTTTCACTTCTTCTCCCGCCAAATAGGATTCTACCTATACTGGGGACGTGAATTCTACCATCCACTCCCTTCAACAAGGCAAGGGTTTCCTTACCCAGTCTTTTTGTGACTTCTTTGCATTTGTAGTCTATACAAGATTTTTGTAGCAACGGGATTTTTGGACCCTGCAAGATTTTTTGGCCTACCAGATTTTTGGCCTCACGGGATTTTTGGGCCGCGGAATTTTTTCTCCTATGGGGTTTCATCATGGAGCCCAAAATTCTTACTCTCCTATCCAAATTAGATCATACCAGATTTTCTGAAGGAGTGAGACCAAACTTCATACCCCAATAATACTACGGAATGTTAAATCAAAAGTACTATGTCATTAAGGACACATGGTTACACGTAGTTAAGTGTACGATTTGGGTAAGGAAACCCTTGCCTTGTTCAAGGGAGTGGACAGTAGAATTCAGGTCCCCAATATACGCAAAATCCATTTTTGGCGGGAGAAGAAGTGAAACAGGGCTGAGACGAGACAAAATCTGCAGCCCTCTTAATGGGACCTGGGAATGAAAGGCCCTTTTTTGGCGGCCGGGTCAAATGGGGATCACCACTGGGTACTCAATTTTTTCACCGGTGTACCATTCCAAAATGCTCCTACAATGCATTTCAGAATGGCCTTCATCCCAAACAGTGTTCACAATGGACTCCCAATGCTTCCTGGAATGCTTCCCTCAAAACACACACAGGGCATTAGCTCAAAATCCCAACCATTGAGAGAATGGGTTGCAGAAGGCATTGGCAATCTGTTTCTCTCAATGGTTCACAGCCCAATGCCCCCATTATTTGCTGGGTGATGATTCATTTTTGTAGACCCGGCAGAAATTGAATGGATTAATGGAGAAAACCCCACCACCATTAATTGAGAGCAATTAGCATTGAGAGATTTTAAAAACAATCATTTTCACTTTCCTGGATTTTTCTGGACTTTGGCTGCTCAGTCAAATCTGCATTTTGGTGACCTTTGATCAAACTTAAAAGCAGAAGCATGTGAAAATTTCCCAGCACCACTGCAATGGAAATGACCTGCCACCATCCAAGGGGTATCTCCTAATGTGCTGTGGTGATGAACAGAGTCATTGTCTGCAGCCCCCCCCCCCCCTCCAAGTTGTCCTTATTATCCCTTGTGTGGCTAAGTTGGGATATTTTTGCCAAATTTTGTGTCACTGAGAAGTGAGATCTGGGAATTAAAAAAAATACAACTTTTGTACATAGCAGGCCTAAGTTGGGGAAAAGTCCAACATTTTGTTCTAATCCAGCAGAAAATTTTTTCTAAAAAAAAATCCCTCACTAGGTGGTGTTTTTTCCTGCATTCCTGGCATAGGATTAGCATGGAAGATTGCAAAAAACAAAAGAGGAATTTGTCTCTTGGATTCTTCCCACCTTGGGCCTTCTCAACCAGGGAGCATTTCAATAACTTTGGGTCAAACTGAAATGCTCTACCTCCCAAAAATCCCAACTTTGCCTCACAGAGGAAATGAACCCTCCATCACTGTCCAAGGGTTGAACTGTAGTAAAATGAAGAATTTGTTACGGGAACAAAGCAGAGGTGTTGCTGCTATATTCCAGACCAACAATATTCCAGAACAAAAGTCCAGAAAAGACCAGCAGCATGATAATCAGGCTCTTGCAATGGCCTAAAATTTCTACTTCAATGTCGTCACTCGTTAGTAGTATGTAGGCCGGGTAACATTTTTTATCTGTAAGAGATGCATTGAAAGGACAAATATACAGTACCGTATTACACCTGCGCTTAAGTTAAGTCTTTTGAAGTTTTTATGGCAAGTACTGTAATATCAATTAACCTCACTGAATTTGAAGTAAACAATACAATGTAGTCCCTCTGTTCAAGGACTACACCAAAATCTTAAATTCCATGTTTTATTGGTCACATTGGACTTCAGCTATACAGTATAGTGATTTCGTGTTTCATATATTTTTACAGGCGTACCAAGGGAAGTAGATTTTTGGAATGAGTTCAATTCATGGGTCGTCAAAAGATGCACACGAAAATATCCCGCTTTTTTAGACAGTCACAGTGTCCAGATTGCTACGTTATTTATTTCAACTACAATTTAACCATAAACTTCATCAAAACGCGTTGAAGATCAGATAAGTTACATTTGTATGCCACATTTATATCAACGTGGATATAGAGAAAGTAGACGATTCTTAGCAGTCTAAATCTAATGGAAATTAGAATCGAATTGTGTAGCAATTTTCCGAAAATTACATTTTTTGAAGCCCATTCCCGCTATCGTTGATGAACTGTTGATACGAAAGACAGCTCCAATTATATGACACAAATTGAAGCATAATAGTACAGTACAAGGACTGTTTCATCAATGTGAGAAACTGAGAATGGACACTAATGAGAATAAATGATGGAGGCACCGGAAAATTCGGATCATAGAATTGAGTGAACCATGACGAGTTTTATTTCCTCTTTTTATCGTGTAAAACATGAAATTTCAGGCCGAAATAAAAAAAAATTAATTTGAGAATCAGGTAGAGTATAGGCGGATAAAATGTAATCTTCAACACCCGTATCCCACATCTGAAGTTGAATCATCATAAAAGAATTCTGCATTATCGGAACAAAGGCAGCTCTTTATTTCCAGAATTTATTTCCCCAAGAAGGTTATTCACCATCAACGCATGAGACCAAAGCAAGTTTGAATGCCTAAAATGCTGTACAATACAGTTTTTCTAAAATTGTTGTGTGTGCGAGGATGGAACAGGAAGCCAAAAGCGAAAGAAAACATAAACGAATTATTATTCCCCCTTATGTACACCGAAGGTAGTATATATAGAGTACATTGCTGTGCTTTTTCGTTCTAATAGATAATTAGGGAGAAAACGTTTCGTGATCTGAAGTTCAAAAATTAAAATTTCGCTTATGACTTATGACTGTTATGAGCAACAAATAATGAGTCTGATATCTTAGGAGGACACTACAGTACAGTACTTGTATACAGCTAAAATGTATGAATTGCGACAGTTACTATCTACCATTTTTAATTGATTATTTATTTGTATATTTCCTTCTTATGATGAACTAATCATGATATTCAGACAAAATTGTGTTGATGCAATAAAGTTACACAGGCCACAGAAAACAATACTGAAGAATAATTTTCTCAAATGTATAATCATCAGTAGAAAAAGGAATTTAAGCTTGAAATGAGTGTCTTACATAAAGAACAGTTTATACTGCGATACGCTCAAAATTGGAAGCGTCTCATAAAAAATAATAATTTTGTTGGACATTTCATAAGTTCAGTGCCTTTTTGTATTGTACGGTACTATAGCTCTTGAAGAAAAGTACTGTACTTTTCTTTTCAAGTGACCTATGCAGTTAAAAATATCAATGGTGGTACTGTATAGAAATACTTCCTTATACAGTACAATATACTTTTATACCATCCAGGTAATCATCCAAAAATCTGATTGATACAATGTAATACAACCTTGGGCTATCTCCTGGCTTGTTAGCCTCAAATTCTGAGAAATTTGTAATTTTAACCTTTGTCTCCTCAGCAGGTTGATGGCTGCTTGGATTAATTAGGCTTCTTGAAATAAGGAAACTTGTAGAACACAGCACTTCCTTATAGCTGCATGCAGTGAAAAGAAGTGTGCCCAGAAATTCATAAAACCCATTCATTCAGTTCCACCCTGTATTTGATGACATGAGTTGTTGGCAAATGCGGATGCATTGCAACTGTTCTGGATTTCATATATGCCAAATAGTCTTTTGTGATTTGGGTTATTTTCAAATTCTGCATCACTTATTGGTTAGAACTTAGATGATACAGTATTACAGTTTTTAGTTGAGTAGCATGCCCTATACATTGGGGTCTTGCCTAGCAAACACAATCCATTAATTCTAGGAATGTGTTTTCTATGCAGAACATTTGAAAGGCAATTCACATTTCCCTTGAGGGTTAATGTAAAACCCATTAATTGGTTCCTGAGAGGAAAATCTGACAGAAAAGTGCAAAAACGTGTCTGCTTTTGTTTTGGAAGCAGAAAAAAAATCCTGACAATACAGGTATACTTTATTCAAAGGCTTGTCCTCATCCAATTATCTTGCTCTCTTATGTGAATAACCCATTCAAAGTGGAACACATGCACTTCATGCATAAGCAACATGTCGGAGCAATGTGCAATGGGAATTATTTCTTATGAATCTATATGGATGTTGATTTTTCATAAGGTATACAAAGTAATGGTGATTTTCATCATTTTCATCGAACAGTTCGTAATGGAACACATGCAATTTCCTTTGTAGATACCCTCATCATTGTGAACCCAGAGAATGGCATCCAAAAAATTTCTTTAGGATAATTTTCTGGGGGCAGGTCCAGCAAACATTTTTTAGGCAGATCAGGGTTTGCTAGACAAGTCTTTTCTTCTGATTTTCTCAGCATGTGTTAGGCAATGCCTTTCTTAGGCAAGGCACCACTGTATTGGGTAAGATGCTTACCTTATAGATGTTCACCTGCAATTATGGAAAAAGTAATGTACAGTATATCTTTTTAAGGCAATGGGCCTTAGTAAAGTGTACTAGTTTAAAAGTAAACTTTGAGACACAATCCATTTTTAGATTTAAGTTCGGGTGACCTTTTAGTTCAAGTTACCACTATGTCATAAAAACAAAGTATTTTTGATATATGTTATCTTAGGGATTACATGCAGCAGAGAATTGCTGACAAGTTTGCAATGCATTTGCTCTTCAGTCTCTGTCCAATAACCTTAAATCTATCACAATTTTGTTTCAACACATTTTTGTTCGTGATGAAGCTTTTTTCAAGTTCCAAGCACGTACAGTATTTGCTTTAACAAGATTTTACCATAATATTTAAAAAGAGGCTTGAAAAAAATTTAGAATATGACGAGAAAACTTTCCAATTTTTAAAAAAATGTCACTTGAATTATTTCAACCATCTATATAGATATGATGCCGTCCTTTTTGTTTGCAACAATTTTCTGGAAAAGAGGTTCGCGTGTTACTCCAGTAAACACTGGATTAGCAATGTTGCTGATTTTGGTGCACATACCGTACTTACCTCGCTCAAAGTTTGAATCTCAGGGCTCAAGCCCATTCGGACTGCTATATATGACAGCACGTGCAAATTCGACGTTGCACAAAATGAGGGATATTTTCAAGGTGGAAACAAAAAAAAAACAAATGATTTCCTTTATGTTCTGTCTCACGATCTCAATTCATTTGTCTTGGAACAAATCACGAAACACAAGGTCAAAGCATTTCGAGAATCCCGCCATCAGGAAACAAAAAAAATACGAGCAATGTTCAGAGTGAACTCATTTATTATTTTGCTACCACGAGTCATGCCGTTCGAATAAGAATTTTGAATCAGTGGGAATAGCAAAACTGCAGAGTCCGAGTAAAATTTGAAAACACTCTCATTTGCGAGCAAAAGCTGCCGAGCTGGGATATTTTCCAAAATTGACAATTAATTTTGATCATCCTCCCTATTAAACATGAAGGGCTACATAAAACAAAAATCGCTGCACGTTGATATGCTCACTCACATCCGATGGCAAGACAGTAATTGATTTTTTGGAAACCATCCTTTTTGTTAAATAATATATACATTAATTTGACATTTTAATTCAGTTTAGAAGCACAGCTCGCAACAATGAAATGAATTGAAAACAATTGAGCTGAATCTCGTTACAACGAATATCGTTATCTAAATATATATATGGCTAAGACCAACTTTGGTTCTTCGGTCCCTGTCGAAGTGTCACCATGTTTTTTTTTCGTTTGAACGATTTTTTTTACTATAACGAAGCTATTTTAAGGTCACAAAGGCTTCATGCGAGCATTCTACTGTATCAAGTAAATTACTGGACAGGAATTTTGTACTTTTTACTTGTTTTAATGTAAGCCAAATTGATAACCGGACAATCTTTGGTATCGTGAGAATTTTTAACCGGTGAATGGGACCCCTGCAAAACTGGGGAATGAATGCCATTCATTTTTCCATGAGTATGAAACTGTTTAAAACGCATTTACAGTCGCAGCGATGAAGAAGTGACATGCTCTTTTGTTAGTTGGACGCACCAGTATATCTAATGAATGCCCACAGAATCATTAAACTTTTCCACCAGAAAATATATGTGGGGTTCAACGAAAGTTCATGCAAAACTCTACAGGAGTTATGCATTAATATATGTATAGGCAGTTAATGCATAAGACGAATCATTTTCTTGTACTGTACACTATTTTATTTTTGTAAAGCTGGACAGTTTTACAGACTTGATTTTCAACTGGCTGTTCTTCAAGATAGAAAACTAATTTAGAATTCTTTTTTTCAATAAAGACTTCAATCTTTCCTTGCATTCCATGCTACACTAAATGAGTTGTACAGAAAAACGTCGTCATTTTAAAAAAATCCATAAAAGCTCAGTGTTATAAGACTTCAAGAACTGTTGCGTGACCCCTTCATTGATTGAAGCACAAGAACAGGTTCTATTCTAAAAGACCCAATGCATGAAAAATAAACAAGATATGACGTAAATGGAAGTAAAAGTCAATTATTAATTGTCCCATCAGTTCTTCCTGGAAAAAAAATGCCCCAGTGATGCCATTTGTGGAGAATATTATTTGAAACCGATGCTTTGAATAAAGCTGGATTATGGATAGTATGGTGACAATGGGTGACAATGGGTGACATCACATGACCTTTGGTTCACCGCAGGACCCACAATCAGCTGCTGATGAAACTACATACAAGCATCACAATTGAAGCATCAGGAACTTTCCATCCATCACCCCGTCACAGCAGCAACCTGACTTGGTTCAAAAAAGACCCACAAGCTTTCTTTCCTTTTTTTTTTTCGAGACGAAAACGAATCCCGATGAAATAGAAACAGCGATAAAAAAAACACGTATTACAGACGGAATCATTGCACAAAGTCCTCAACAAAAACCCTGATGCCCCGTGGCGAGTCCCCTTGGGTTCTAGTTATTGCTCCACCCACGAACCGTCCACCGGTTGACCCCACACCGGCCCCAGCTGCAGCATTGCTTCCGAAGGCCGTGCCGAACCCAAAGGCACTGCTGCTGCCTCGACGATTGAACCCGGTAGGGCTGACGAATGTGTTCACACCGAAACCCGCCGGGTCGCCGAACAGGAAGCTGGCCAAGTTGAAGGGCACGAAGGCGAACGGATCGAAGAAGAATCTCGCGGGTTCCGCGATGCCCTGGGGCCGGCGTGGGGACACTCTGGACGGGTTATTACTGCGATGCCTACTGCTGCTGCTGCTGCTTTGCCTGCGGGACGAACTGGGTCCGAAATTCGTCACATTTGTGGATGTGCCTCGTTGAGGGTCCCCGTTGGCGTGCGGCAGCATGGCAATGACCATGGCCACAATGCCTGAAATTTTAAAATTGACAAAAAATATTAAAGCTTATTGTTCTGAATTTTCCAATGATCTCTGGTCCGAATTGCACTAGTGTAGGAAATAAATTTTATGCCGTATCTGGCAAAGAAAGTGAATTTCTTGCACAGTTGAACCTTGATAACTCAAACCTTCCTAAGTCAAAAGTCAAGCAACTGTAAATGTCTTTTTTTTACAGTTCCATCTGAATTCCCTGAAGAAAAATCCATTAAACAACTTTCTTAACCACAATAAGGTCTTACTCCAAAAACCTCCAGAAGTCAATTATTTTCTGGAGGCCTTTAGACAATCAATTCATTGACACAGGGAAGATAAAAGCAATAAAAATGCCACTTTTCTGATGCATTTTTAAAGGAAGTGAAGACAAATTGAGCAAATGAACCCATTCCTCCACATTCAGCATTCTGTCAACTCATTTAATAAGCAATTCCAGGCCCAAAATATCAAAAATTACAAGATTACGCAATTCTTCTTTCTTCCTCCTAACAAAAATGCTTGTACTCCTAACTCCAAACCTCTGTAACTTGCTTTTTTCTGATCCCTTGAAACCTGTTTTGTTCCAGCAAATGGTTTGTTGCTTCAGGCGTTTGCAGTGAAATTGTGTAAAGCAAGATTTCCTATATTGTAGTAAACTATCATATATGCTTGTGTCCCTTGCAATCTCAAGTAAGGTGTGGTGAAATAAAGGATTGGGAAGAATAAATTACATGAGAGAAAGAAAAATGTACAAATGATCATCCGGGTTGCAGCCAGGGTTGTTACACCCAAGAAGTATGTGTGAAGTATCAAACTTTATAAAATTTGATTGATTTTGACAACTTTTTGGACTTTGAACTTTTTGGGATTTCTTGATGGTTTGCGTTGAGATGGTGTCAGAGATAGAATGTGTGCATTCTTTTCAGATCTTGTCCCTTTTAAAGATTCTTGATGATTCCTGTTGATGGGGGAACTTGGGGTTCTGCTTCTGTGTTTTTTCTTGGCAACACAGATTCAGTTACCACAGAATCTGGCAAACATTGTGGTCAAAGGGAGGCGCCCAATCAATGGGCCAAGTTGATCAATGACAGACTTGGGCAAAAACCAAGCCTGTTGCCAAGGTCATTCCTTTTTGCTGGTATCAGACATGCTGCTGATCTCTTCTTTCATTTTGGTGCATTTGAGAGGATTTTAGCCATTTGTTTTGGCTTTGGAAAACAGACTTGTCAGCCGTTGTTTTGTCTGTTAAGAGGAACTTGGATTCCTTGTCTTGGGTTTTTTGGTCCTTCAAGAGGAGTGAAATGCAAGATGCAAATTGTCCAGTTTAGAGGGAAAATGATTTTTCCTTGCAGAGGAAATGGCATTTTTCTGAGAAGGAAGCTATATTTTAGTGTTTCAATGTCTCTCGTGTTATGTCAAAACACAGAGTCAAGGCTTAGCTTTGACTCTTTACAAATTACCACCATAAAAGCAGGTTCCTTCTCAATGATTGGTTTTCTGGGGAGGCAAGGACTTCTCAAAAGTTTGACTGCTCCCCCTCCCCTTCTTTTCCTAACATAAGGCTTGCACCAAGATGTTTTCACTCAATGTTACCAAAAACCTGCCCCTTTATAAGACCTGCTCATAAGTTTTTTGTTTGCTGAAAATTAAAATGCATTAACCAGATTCACTTTGTGCCAGAACAACCTGATAAATGAATAAAATGATGTGAAGAATTATGTCAGTATTTTGTGCCAAATGGAATTTTTCAATGCATTTTTTGCCTGAGACAAACTTCAGACTCACCAATATGATTTCCTTCCTTTCTTTTTCAAAAATGTCATACCCACATCCCATGCACACCCACTTTACTGCTTTGATTTAAAAAAAAAAGGTGTGCGTGGTACTTGAGGTATGGTGGTACTGTATACAGTATATATGGAAAATGAATTAATTGGGTTCAACACAAAATGATGAGTAAGATACAAAACTAAAATTGAAGAGAGAAAACAAAACCAAGAACAAACAAAGAAAACAGCAGCTGAAAATTATTTTCAATTATTGAAAATGAGTGTCAGTATTATAGTTAAATTGGACGCACATGGGGTCTTTTTATACTGTAGTTCAAAATGTCTTTCACGCAAAAGAGCACATACGCGAAAATATATGACATGACCTAGAACAAAAATAACCACTTCAGTGGGGGCTTGCTTATAACAAACACAATCCATGCCAGTAAAATGTGCTTGAAAACCTTTTTAAAGTTGGATTGCAATTTCCACAAGCAATTTTCTGCCTTAAAATGATTTCTTCACGTTATTTCTGTCATGTCACATCAATGGTATTGTTGTAACAAAATTCTACCTGTACGGTATTTAAATACTGTAATAGCCAAGGGTCATATACTCATCACATATAGTAATATTGTTGCTGTGAACAATGACATATGAAACGGAAAATTTGACTCACAGGCGAAAAGGAATTGTGCAAGTCGAGAGCTGCCCATGGTTTCT